TATAATACAATGCAAAAAAAACAATGATTTGATGAATGACAATAAATTGAGCCTCAAAATAGTTTCTCCCACTCCAGCTATTACCAGAATAGTTGATTTCCTACTGATGGTTGACTAAACTGTAGTACAGTATGTAGTAGAATTTTAAAATTGGTATTTTTTCCCATTTATGCCATCTTGAACCAATGTATACAATTGTGCTTTAAGAACTTAAACCAGTGAATAATAAGCTGGAACAATCCTATTAATTACATTTTTGCAGTTTTCTCTTCTTTTTTTAGTTTGTTGTAGTTAGATTCTGATCATGGCTTTATTTTTTTTATTGTTTTTCTATTACTGTTTTAAGACCAAATTATTTTATAGAAGCAATAATAAATAGTCATAAATAACTTGAAACCAAAAGAAGGGCAGTGAAAAAATTAATTGGTCAAACTAGTTAAAAAAGAATTGATATCTAAAGAAAAACATAGAATTGTAAAAAATGTTGCACCAAGTAAACATTATGGCACTGAAATGAAAGTCAAATTTTTTCTTGTGAGTTTCCCTTTGATAAAGATAAGCTTGATGCTTTGAAATGATACCATAAGCTTTTTATTACTGTCTCTGCACTTCATGTTCTTACTTTAGTAACATGATGAAGCTTTCAAGAATCAATTTCAGAGATTATTTGTTTTTCTCACACATTGAAAGCTGACCAGATGACTGAATGGCAACATTCCAGAGTGCCACTATGAAGGATCTGGGATCAAATCCTGATTGAGACTGCTGCAGAAAATTTTTCATGCAGAATCCACTAGTACATCATTCTTCATCCCACATCGATACTGCATCGGTGGTTAAGCAAATTTGATCCCTAAACACTGGTAGTGAGCTCAAGTTTGTGCTTAGGCTGACAGGCTGGTTTGTGAAGTTTTCCAGGTTTCCTTCACATAGCTATGTTCCTTAAAAGACCTCCCAGAAGATTGAATATTTGTTATTTTTAATTTATAATTAATAAAATTTACAAATCATAATAAACTTATTATATTATTAAATAATATAATTTTATCTCCTTTTAGCCAAAAGAAATAATAACAGATGATTTCCTTTTCCCAATGACTTCCCGTCTCAGTTATGCTTCTTCACCTGAAAGTGACCTAGATTTTAATGTAGATAATAGATCAATAAGTTATCAAGATCAAATTTTATCAAAATTTTCCTGTGATAGTTTTATGGTTAAAGCATCTAGTGATCCAAGTATAGCTGCCAAAGAAAACATTGACCAATTGGATAATTATAATAGTCCACCTTCTTATACACTTTCCAAACCGAAATCTGTAAGTATTTTTTTAAGAGAATATATAAAATATTTCTTTTCAATTTTAAATACGATATATATTTTTAAACTATGGATAAATACCTAATGCAATTTTGCATTATTTCTATGATACTTTCTCAAAAAATATTTAACAAAAAAATATTTTGTTCAAATGTTTTAAAATTGTGACTTTACAAAATAAAAAATATATATAATTTATTTTTAATTTATTTTTTTAATTTTTAAAGTCAAAATTTGGACACACGTTAAATATGACTATTATAAACAATCAAAAATATGTCACTAACAATATGCAGCCTATAAATTAAATGTTTGACTTTTTTGGGTTAATTATTAGTCAAAAAAAATTTTTATGAAAATCGAAAATAAATTTTCATGATTTCAAATTTATTAAAAAATAATTATTCTATGATTAAAAATTTGCTATGATCTTTCAATGATATCTAGACAGATAAGACTGATGGAATAATAGGACAAATAATTTCCAAATTAGTTCACTTCCAAACTTAAATAGGTTTTATGTTGACAATATTAAAATTGAAGCTATAAAATTAAATGTCAATGAGAGAAAATCAGCTTTACACTTTCCAATAGTAGATTTTATTTATTTTTCAGAATACAGTAGAGCCTCGAAAACTCAGTCTAATGTGGACCGAAGGGTGGCCGAGTTTGTGAAAATGCCGGGTTATCGGGAATGGGGTTAAAAAACTAAGTATGGGTGGCCTGAGGTAGGACGAGGTCGTACCTCTTTTTGATAGGCAACAGTTGGGTGACAACTGCCCACTGGTCAGTGGATGGCTTAGAAAGTGCTTTTTCTATCCCGTACAGTCGGGATTCTTTTGTCAGGTCGAGTGGAGGAAGTGAGAGGGGTCGANGAGTGCCGAGTTTTCGAGGCTCTACTGTATTATAAATTAAAGTGAAGTAAATCATTATAATTATAAATTAGGCAGGTTTCTGCCTTTACCAGCTTCAAAATCTGTCACTTTCTTATCAATCTAGCTTTTATTCTACTAAATAAAATTTATTTAAGATATCAATTTTATATAGTATTTAGTTTTCACTCATTAATTTCTCATTATTTGTTATTTAAGATATAACAAATAATGAGAAATCAGTGAAATATATAATGAAATTAAAAATATTTTGTAAACAATTATTTGTATATAAGTGAGGGTGTTAGTATAGTAAAGAAGTTATCTTATGATTTAGTATGAGTTTGATAACTGTAATACAGTAGAGCGTCGATTTTCCAAATCAATTGGGGACTGGGGTTGTTCGTATAACTGATATTTCGGATAACAAATTTATGTACGAAAAAATAGTTTAATGTATCCGATGTTGAAATTTTTCTCCGTTGCATGTCGCTTTGCATTGAATTTTCGTTGATTATAATCCTAACAAAGACTATTGTATTGTTAAAAATTATTTTTTTATTTTGTACAAACAAAATAAATATATTGAAAAATATAAAAACAATAAAAAATTATACTTAAGATGTTAATTTAGTATCAAAAACGTAAAATATTTGAGTAGCCCAAGACATAGCCAAAGATTGAAGCGCCACAGCACTGGCGAAAATTTAAATTTGCCGACTGAAATTCTTTCGGATGATTGACTTTCGGAAAATCGATGCTCTACTGTATATCAGTATTTGTTTTATATAATTTGTAAGTGATGTTTTATTATATGGAAATTTCTTCAGTTTTGGTTAATCTTTTAAAATTTATTATATTTTTATTAAGTATTTTTATCACTAAGTCAAAGTATATTAATTTCAATTCTGTATTATTTTTCTATATTATACAATAAGCACCTTATGTTACTTATTCTTTATTCCATTAACTTTTCTTATAAAATGTAAATATTTTTCTCTATGTTCTTATCAGTTGTCATACTTTCCTGTTCTTTTTAATAGCTTCCATTATTTTTCTGTTGGGTATGTACTTTACTATGATATCATCTACTTTATAAAAACGAAAGTTTTTTCATATATGACATTCTTTTTAAATACAGGGTCAGAATTCTTCTCAATCTCCAAAAATGAGTGAATCGAAAGATGTTTTATCCAGTAATCACAATTCAAGTAAGTTTATTAAGTTTTATGATGTAATCTAGAT